CCGGGGCAGGGGCAGCCAACCAGCGGCAGCGGCCACCGCGTGCGCCTGCGCAGACCGGAAGGGCGACCCTGCCCCCATCGGGGAACCACCCAGGTGACCCAAAGACTCATGGCAATAGGAAACGGTCACTGTTTGACGTTAAGTTGGGCAGGTTTGCTTTAAATTAAGAACCAACTGTTATAGTACGTTACTAAATATAATTATTATAGTCTATACATGAATATTATTTTTCGTAATAAGTTAATTTTGTTTAGCATAGTAACTTTAATTTACATTTCGCAGGTTTTTGCTCTCAGACGAATTCCGTATAATATGTGGCTTTACGCTCTGCAGTTCTGGGGCACGAATGTATTCAGTTGTTTCTTCACCTCTTACCTATAAAATTTCCCTAAATGAATATAAATATTTGCACTTACTTACGAAATTCTTTATAATGCAGTTTTTTTTCCCCTTTTTTCCCAAAGAAACGTAGCTGAAGGGTTGTGTTAATCTCAGGTTCTTTCACTGTTGGTTCCTACAAAAAAAGGGTATAATAATTTTAGGTAATCATAACCAAGGACAAAAATGGACACGGCAGCCTAGAACTCCTAGGACAATACCCACAAAAGATTCTTGTAACAGCAGCAGCAAACAACATTCTATTACTCTGCACAGCACCGTTCTCTACGGACTTCGCTCGAGCAGGAGAAAAACACCGAGGGCTAACACACCGGAATCGCTCCGGGGGGACTTCAGCTATGGGCACAACTGGAGTGGGCCAGAGAGAGAGCTCAGAATAGTGAAACTAGTTATCTCAAAATGTGACCTCCTAGCATTTTCTAATGAAGCAGGACGGAGAGAATCAAAGCAGGAAAGTCTTGGACCTTCTGCTGAATGTTGGAAATTTGAAAAATGCTAGCTTTTCCTAATGATAAAGTTAACAGGTGAGGATTCTATTCAAGGTAATGAGTGATGCAGATCCACAGACCCTTCCTCCTTCCAGTCTCCCAGAAAATAAACAAAAATAGTAACACAGAACCACTAAAAAGATTATCAGCAGCAACTAAACAACAAAAGGGTTTAAACCATATAGTTTGAGGGAGAAACGCTGGATTCAGGTGCTGGTCCAGCCTGCCTCCCAGACACAGCGGCAGGCAGTGTGCCTGTCACCTGACAGAACCCAAGAAAACCTTGAATCTAAGGCAGCTGGGACAAGCCGTGGGGAAAAGCAGGCTACTTGGCAGCGTGTGGAGCTCAGGCAGAGGGGGGCCTCTAGAATCTTCTGGGCACTGTTCAGTGGAGGATAAGCAGGAACCCAGAGGTGGGGTGCACCACGGAGGGCGGGGAGGGCAAGGTCAGGCCCATCAGCGGGGGCGCAGGAAGAGGGGCAGAGTTTGCACATGAAGTCTGTCTGGAGAAACACATGGGAGTTGGTGACGGGAGGAAAATTCTGCCTACATACATCCTTCTGGGAGCCTCTTGAGGTCGGATCACGTGAATGTAGCAATTCTACTCAAATATTTAGAAAAGTCAAGTTACTGATGATTTTCTGGACTATCTGGGAATACTTATTTGAACAAACAGAATAGAGAAGCTACTGTAAATAGCATCTGTTTGGAAACGTTCGGCTTATTGCACATACCTGGCATTCTGTTTCACTAGTTACTGCTGTCTTCAGGTCATCCTGTTTACTTATGATCTTCTGCAGCTAAAAAGAGTGCAAACATGAATTCAGCTGTGTGTCTACCGGAATTCTCAAAACAACCTAAAAAACAGATGCTAAGTTTTTATTACAAAATATATACCAGTAATTTGTTAAATATTAAATTAAATATTAAATTTTTTATTATAACTCCTGATACCAGTTTTTTTCTTAGATCATATAAGAATTAAAGGAGAATGATATACAAGTATTAACATTGTTATTACTATGATTTGGATCACTTTTTCTCCTAAGAAAGCTGGCTTACTTAATGTATATATATACTAAAGGCATCACTATGTAAAAACTTCATGATTATCCTCATTTTTCAAGAGGATTTTTATTCATAATTAATTTTTCTGATTGTTTATGGCCATACGGCAAGTGTATAGCTCTTAAAAAGCTATTCATATCATATAAACAGCCTTCCCTTTTCTCTTTATGCATTTATAAAGCTTCGAGATAATTTATAGGCCTACGTTTCTGCCAGTTAAAAAACTGTCAACGGTACCTCAGGACTGAGCACGCTGAAAACCCACCTACCGTTCAGTGTCATCTGTGCCAGTCCTCACATGGAAAGCAAATTAAAAAAAGGTTTAAAAAAAATTAAATGTAGACAAAATCTCCACCCGTTTTTTTCTAGATGACTTCTTTGTTAATAGTTTGAGAAGGGCTGCCTCAAATGTTGCTGCTTCTGCTACATTTGTTGTAGGCTTAAGGCTCGTCTCTAGCTCTCTAAAGCCCTCAGACTTTTCAACACTCGACCCTCCCCCCCAATTTTAGGGAATAAAGTTAAAAAGCTTTTATTTGTTTTATCCTTTATCTAAGTTGACAATCAGTATACTGCCATGTTCAACACCCAAACATTTCTTACTTTGCTTAAAACTGCTCCTCTTAAAATTTTTATTAGGGATAATTTCAAACACAGCAGAGAGAACCCTGTAATAAACTACCCCCAGCACATGACTCGGGTGCAGCCTTACCCATGTTCCACCACTCGTGGTCCCTAGTCACCCACCCCCGCTCCCGACTCGTCATTAATATTCACAGCTCTTTCGGGAAGACTCGCGTGCATTGCAATACACAAATCTGGGCCGTTCAGTTTTCATTAGTTTAGAGATTCAAATAAATGGCACCAAGTAGTCTGTGTCTGCCATCATCTCCTGTAACTCGGCACAGTGGCTCTGTGATTTATCTGTGTTGTCTGCTATCAGGACACGTTCCCATTTATTGCTGAGCTGGACCCGTTTGAATAAATACACAGCTGTTTATCCATTCATCTGCTGACAGATGTTCGCGTTACTGCCTCCAGTTTTCGCCTACTGTGACTTAAGCTGCCATAAACATTTTCTTTTTCCCCCAGCTTTACTGAGGTATACTTAACACACAAACTTGCACACAGTAATGTACACATCTCGGTGAGTCTGAACCTCTGCACACCCCCTAACACACCACCACCATCAAGGCAGCAGACACAGCTCTCACCTCTGCTGTGGTTTTGGTGACTCAGCATGAGATTCTGCCTCTTGATGCACATTCACGTGCATGACACCGTGTTGCTAAGCGTGTGCACTGTTTGTGCAGCGCAGCTCCCACAAACTTCCCTGTGCAGCCTCTGTTGTCTTTGACATGCTTTAACATTTCTCTTGGGTAAATTCCCAGGAGGGAACAGTTAGGTCTGTTTGACTTTGTAAGAAACTGCCAAACCTTTTTCCAAAGTGAATTCTGGTTCCTTCACAGCCTCACCATGTGGTCTTATCAGTCTTTTAATTTCAGCCATTCTGTTGGAAGAACAGTACTTCTCTGTGGTTTTAACGTGCATTTCCCTGATAACTCACTTTTTCAAGTGCTGTCTCCTATTCACACATTTTCTCTTCTGATGTGTCTGTTGTACTCTTTTATCTAGATTTTAATTTTTTTTAACTACTAAGTTGTATGGATCTACTATATATTCTGGACACAAGTCCTTTGTCAATTACCTGCTTGGAAAATATTTTCTCTTATCCTACAGTTTGCCTATTCATTTTCTTAATATACAGAAGCCATTAATTTTGATTATCATTGTTTTTCCCTTAATGGTCACTGCTTTCAGTGCCCTAAGTAACTGACTTACTGATCCTGAAGATACTCTCTTATATTTTTTCCCAGAAGCTTCATGGTTTTAGTTTTTATGTTTAGACATAAGATACATCTCAAATACACTTCTGTATGTGGTCTGAGGCAAGGGTTATGGCTAGCTTTTTCATGTACATAATATCCTGTCCTTTGTTCTAGTGTTATTTGTTGAAAAGACTTTCCTTTCCTCATTAACTGATTTGGAGGCTTTACTGAGAATTGTGACCACATATGTGTGGACTCTGCTCCCCTCCACTGATCTACCTGTCCATCCTTAGGGCAACGTCACAGTGTCACCATTACTGCAGGTCTGCAGAATCTTAAAGTTAGGTAGTGTCAGAGTATCCAGATTTATTCCTGCTTTTCAGGATTGATCTGGGTGGTTCAGATCCTTTGCTTTTAAATATACTTTTTAAAATCAGCTCATTAATTTCTATTAAAAAAAAAGCCGGCTGGGTATCTGCTTGGGGAAATTGAATCTTTAGACCAATTTGGGAAGCAGTGACATCTTAACACTACCAAATCTTCAATCCATTAACATGGTGTATTTCTCCATTTATTGAGGTTTCCTTGAATTTCTACCAGCAATGTCTGGAGTTTCTGGTGTATGTTTTTTGTTAAATTTATTTCTACTTCTTTTATATCATTTGGCACCGTCTAAAAAGAACTGATTGTAACTTCATTTTCCAAATATCTGCTACCATTATATGGAAACACAATGGATTTTTCTATACTGACCTCCCACCCGGAGACCTTGCTAAACTCACTTACACGTCTTTGATTTGGCTGATCTGGTTGTCAGTTCCTTAGTCCTGTTGTCTGTGGTAAAGTCAGATTTACTTCTTCCTTTCTCATCTTTCCCCCCTTTCCCCCCTTGTATTGCTTTTATCTCTAGAATCTCCAGCAAAATGTCAAACAGAAGGGGTAAGAAGACGTCCTTTGCCTGGTTCCTGACCTCAAGGGGAAAGCGGCCAGCACTTCATCTTGTGGCAGGATGTATCTTCAAATTTTCTGTGCGCACCTTTCACCAGACTGCAGTTCCCTCCTATTCCTACCTGCTAACTTTTGTCACAAAAGTGCTTATTTTGTTAAATGCTTTGTGTGCATGAACTGATATGATCGTGTTGGTTTCTCTTTTGTTCTGTTAACACGATGGACTGCACTGACTGAGTTTCAACTATTAAGCGAATTTTGTACTCTGTGGATAAATCTCACTTGGTTGTGATGCGTTATTTTATACAGCGCTTGACGAGCTTTGCTCCATCTGGTTAAGCACTTTCATATCTCTGTTCATGAGGAAAGGTGGTCTATAGTCCACTTTTCCTGTTAGGTCTTTGCCAAATTTTAGCCATCAGGGACGTGCTGGTCTCATCACATGAGGGAACTGTTCCCTTGTCCTGCGTTTTCTGAAAGAGTTTGTGCAAACTGGGCATTTCTGCATCCCTGTGTGCTTGACAGGTTTCACCAGTGAAACCATCTGAGCCTGTACATTTCTTTATGGGAAAGTTTTTGATAACAAATCCAATTCCTTTGATAAAGGGCCATTCAGATTTCTATCCCATCTCTTGTTAGCTTCGGTAAGTTTTGTTTCTTAAGGCACCTGTCCGTTCATCTGACTTATCAAATCCCAGGCACACAGGAACCAGTCCCCACAGTGTTCCGCTTCTGTCCCTCCAATGCCTGTAGGATGTGTGGTGAGCGCTCCTCTTCATTGCTAATACTGGGCATTTGGATCTCTTTTGTTGTTGTTTGTTTTTCTTAGGTCAAGTACTAAAGATCAGTCAAATTTATCAAATAGATAACTTTAAACATAGGAACAGATGTTATTCATAAAATGATACACATTTTTATAGAAAATTCAAAACTTATCTTTTATTATAAGACAATATGGTTATTGTCTATAGTTATAATCTTCACGTAGTCATTGCAAATAGTTACAAAGCGAAACAAAACAAAAAAGCAAACAGAATTGGCTCACTGAAGCCAGAGCTCTTTCAGGAGGCTTATCCCAGTATCATGTGGAACCTAGAACAAGGGTCAGTCCTGAAGTCTGACCATGTGGGTTTAGTGCCAGATGGAGCTGTCCTGCCAGAGTCTTGGCTACGGCGTTCTGGCCTGGACTCAGGGAGCGGTTACGGCAGGTTCGGCTGCACTGTGAAGATTGCAGTGCTGTGTATCTTGTTTTATAGTAACAGCTCCATTTGAAAGGCCATGAACACTTTGTGTCCGGGTATCCTCTCAGGCCAGAAGGCCTCTCTGGCCTACTACGGTGCTTTCTGAGACGGCTGCAAGTGACGCTGAGTCACCACGGCACTGCGCTAAGCGCCCCCCCAGGACCACGTGCGGTCTCCGTGCTGGGAGCACAGCAGTCGCGGGCAGAGGGCGGCACGGGGTGCTTTCGCTGAACTTACATTCCAGTGGGGTGTAGGCAACGCGCAAGTGGGCAAAGCAGTCAGGTAATTCCAGAATTTTCAGTCTTGTGCTACGACTGGAATGAAAAGGCAATGAAGTGGTAGCCGAGAGTCAGGCTTACTCTGGGGAGCTGTCTTTGAGGACGTGGCATTTGGGCTGAGAGCGGAATAATTAAAAGCTTCCAAGGGGGTGGGGAAAGGGCATTCTAGGCAGAGGTGGGAGCGAAGTGTCTGGCAGAAACGGCTGCTTTGCTAGAGAACCAAGGCCAGGTGAAGACAGAGGCAGCAGGAGGGCTCCCGACGTCTAACAGCCAAACTGAGCAGCTCCACACTGATCGGTATTTTGGTTTCAGGCTGAAAACGGAGACAAGTATTTGGGGCCGGTTTACCTCGTCTTTGCTTCCAGAATGGATCGTGATTAAGCTCTGGAATAAGAACGCTGTTCCAGAACCAAGAAGGATAAATTCTCCGGAAGGCCTTCACAGTTAACAGCAACTCTAGCAGGCACATTTAGTTTCCCTTTCCTTTTTTGCTGGGGGAGGTGACTAGGTTTATTCACTTATTCTTAGAGGAGGCACCAGGGACGGAACCCAGGACCTCATGCGTGCTAAGCATGCACTCTGCCGCTGGAGCTGCAGCCCCCCTTAGCAGGTATACTTAGTATAGTAAGATTATCACACCGCTGCGTTCAGACACAGTCCTTCCCACCAGTATGAAAGACCTGTGAAATCAAGGGACCACCTAAGGAGAAATTTATACTAGTAAACAGACCTGTCATCAGTCTCTTGTTCGAAGAAATTACACTGAAACTCTGGCTCTTATCCCGAATAAGCAGATGTACCTTCTATCGCGGTAAAGACGAAACGGACTGACTGTCACTGGCTTTGACCGCTGCAGGCAGCCTGCGGCCTGCTGACAGAGGAGAGTTTACACGGAGCGCTGCCACTGTACTTGTTCTTGGGATGACGAAGTGAGCAATAAATACACTTACCACGCAGCGCGCAGACCTGATGTTAACAAAACCGGAATGCACCACACAGCACAAAAGAAACAAACTAAGGCAATTTATATTCTAGTACATTTTCCTAAGACTTCATATGAATAGATTTCTTCGTTACTTTTGCATTTGCTGTTCAAGTCACTCTGCTATACCTCTGTTTTGGGTATTAAAGTAATTCTCGTTACTTTTCTAGCACTTACGACAGGAAGAGCAACAAATAAAATTTACTGGGGAAACAGTCAGATAAGCTGAAAAAACTCACAAATCCCTGCCCCTTAAACATGCTTCTCTGACCTGAAAAGGACTGTTTGGCTATTTCAGTAAAACTTCACATAGAAGAGGATACACACTTAGGTTTCCAAATATGACAACCATGGAAATGAAATAATTATTCAAGTAATTAATGTAAATGCTTTTTCTCCTCTAAGCTGTTATTTTTAATTGACATAGTGTATCATGCTCCACGGGTTATCAAGTTTAGTGTTTCATTTCTAAGATCAGCACAAAGAACCTTTTACAGGCTTAGGAGGTTGACCAGGAAAAACTGTGGTATTCAGAAAGCATTCTTCAAATTCAGCGTGTTGAATGATTACGCAGAAAAAGTATCTGAAACACTCCTGAAGCAGGTGTGTGCCACGTCCCGGGTGGAGGCTGCCCCGCAGGGAAGGAAACCCTGCAGGACGTGGCTCCCTGGGCCCCTGAGAGGAGACCTGGGGAAGAAGGGGGCTGACATTTGCTCACAATGACTTTCTAATGAAACACTTTTTTGGGGGTCCAAATCCATCTCTCTTCTATATAACATATTCTGAATACGTGGAACATTCCAAATGTTCTTTCAGCAGTTAAACGGTAGTCTTCTCTACAGCTTTTAGTACATTTAACTTCTCCCACTTTGAGAAAATGAATTTTATAAGATTATCACCTGTTTTCTGAATAGTACAGTGAAACCTCATGTACCTAGAGGCTGATTTCAGACAACTTCAATCCTCTGGAATCCTCCAGCCTTTTTACTTAAGCTGCAAACGCAGGAGTAAGAAAAATCTTTTCCAGCATCTGAGACAACTGTCATAAGGAGTATGCAACAAAGTACATCTAAAAATTCCTCAGTGTCTTTAGCCCTGTATACTCTAGAGCAGTGCTGACCAGCAGGAGTGTATCGGCCTGTGTGATTTAGAATGTTTTAGTAGGCACGTCAGAACCAGGAAAAAGGCAAGTATACAGCGCAGTGATCAGCACCTACTAACTACTTAGAAAAACCACTGATGGATTAATGAGCACACACACAGATGACTAATTTAGGACCGAAAAGAGCCTTTGAGACACGAAACAAATGGAACCCTCTCCCACTGCGGGTGGGAATGTAAAACGGTACCCAGAAAACAGAACCGGCAGCTTCTTAATTTATACTTAGCGTATGACCTGGCAACCCCACTCCTAAGTATTCAGTCAAAGAAAACACGCGTTCACCCGAAGACCTGTGTATGAATATTCACAGCAGCCCCAGCCTGGAAACAACCAGCATGCTCATCCACAAGGGACTGGGGAGATGAACGACGTCCACACAACAGAGCCCACCCCCCACCAAGCGGCGAGGACGGGCGGACCACTGACGCCGTGGCAGCGCGGACGGGCCCGAGTGAGGCAAGCAGAGTGCACACTTTCTGATTCCATTTACGTGAGACTCGAGGAAAGGAGCACGTCGATGCTCGAAAAAAGCAGAGGGCTGGTGGTTGCCTGGGGCCAGGAGGGGTGAGGAACGGACTTAAAGGCCCAAGAGGGCTTTCTGGAGCGCGGGAAATGTTTCAGATCTTGACTGGGAGGTATGGACATAGTGCATAAATTTGTCAAAACTCATCCCTCTGCACACTGTGGACAGGTGCAGTTTATTGTATATAACATAACCTCACAGTTAAACCCCTCTAGACCATGACTTCACAAATTTAAGTACTGAAATATTTGGTTTTATACATAAGAAACCACCTCAAATATTAAGAAAACATGATGTAGCAAAAAGAAGGCTGCAAAATAGAGAACACGTTTATGAACAGTGGGCTCCTACAAAAAGCAGGTTACAAACATTTAAGAAGTTCACACAGTATCTGGAGGAGGGTGCAGAGCCGCGAACCTCAGCGCAGGGCGAGCCGAGGTGAGGGAAGGGGCAGATGTGCGGCTGCACAGTGGTGGGCGCAGCTCTCAGTGTCTCAGTCCGAAGGCAGCAGAAGCCACCCAGTGTGGCCAGTGCCGGAAGCTGTTCAGCTACTTAAAAAGTCTGTTAAACTGAGGAATCATTTTAAAGAAGAAAGACACCTGCACAACGAACATTTTAATTAACTTACATAAGTAACATCCGTTTCAGAACCAAGGCCTTTTCTTTGGAGTGAAGCCACTGATTGAAATTACTTGTTACTTTTCTTGACTAAGTATATAAAAGATAATTTATTATCTGCAGTTCTCAGTTTCATTTTCATTAAAGTGCAGCAAAAATGTAAAGAAACAGGCAAAATTATATCTCAAAATTATGACTTTATCACATCTTCAATACAAAAATCAATATATTTTATAATCCTTTCTTATTTCTTCAAAAGCCGGTGTGTATTTTACATTACAGATCATCATATGATGTATTCCATTAGAAATACAGGCATACCTCGTATTATTGTGCCTTGCAGATTTTGTGTTTTTTACAAATTGAAGGTTTGGGGCAACCCTGCATTGGTAGAGGATGGTTAGCATTTTTAGCAATGAAGTATTTTTAAATGAAGGCATGCATATTAGGACAGGACGCTATTGCACACTTAATGGACTACAGTACAGTGTAAACACAACAGGTGCTTAACAATGCACCAAAATTAACTAGAATCTACTTACCTTAAAAAATTCCTTTTTCTCAACCATCTCATCACCATCTGCATCCAGCATTTTAAATGCAACATGAAACCCAGTATGGGGTTCTGCAAGCAAGTGAAAAATGAATAATTATGGCAATGTTGGTGAAAGGCCATTTATTTGCAGATATACAGATCTTCAAGCTTGAAATGAGCCACCAGAAACAACGTAAGTGCCTAAGACAGAGAAAAAGCTGTACCTGCTTAGGACACCAGCTTGCAGAGGCTGACCTGCCTCCATGGCGTGCTGCTCCCCCGCCGTGCTCTGCTCGTCAGAGCACACGTAGTTCAACCACTTACTTTATTTCTGTAGCTATACTCGGCGCTTTCCTGTATTCTTACAGTACCTTGGCTATTTTCATTTGATTATCCTTTATTTCCCTTTCTCAAGAGTAAGGCTTTAAAAAAATTACTCGGAAGTGATTCTGGACTTACAGGGACGCTGTGAGGTCAGCACAGCGTGCTCTCACCGGCCCCCCACCCAGCTGCCGCTACCGTCAACATCTTCTGGAACCTCGTGCCTTTATCAAAACTAGGAACTTAACACTACAGCATTTTACACTAAACTACGGCCTTTATTTGGGCTTCATGTTTTTTCTACTCTAGGATCAGACACAAGAAAACATGCTGGATTTAGTTGTGATGTCTCCTCAGTCTCCTCCAAGCTGGGGAAGTTTCTTAATCTCTCCTTGGTATTCTTGGCTTTGACAGTCTGAAGAGGGCTGGTCAGGAATTTTGTAGGATGTCAGATGAGGCTTTTTAAAAAATTGTTTTTGGGGGGAGGGAGGTAATTAGGTTTTTTAAAAAATTTATTATTATTTTTTTAATGGAGGCACTGGGGATTAAACCCAGGACCATGTGCATGCTGAGCATGCCCTCTACCACTAAGCTCCCCCCTGCCCACCTCGGACGAGGCATTTAAAAAAAATTATTTATTATTTTATTTTGGGGGAGAGGAAATTAGGCCTTTTTATTAATTAATTTTTTAATGGAGGCATTGGGGACTGAACCCCGGACCTCGTGCATGCTAGGCGGGTACTCTCCCGCTGAGCTATACCCCCCAGATGAGGCATTTTTAATATCCCTAAGTGAAGGCTAGGTCTGATTCTTCTGCTCAAAGAGCCTTCAGTCAGGAGACAAAGTTACAGGAGCAGGGAGCAAAGGAGGCCGAGAGCCCAGGGATGATCCGATCCAAGCGTCATCTTGCAGGGACAGACGCCAAGGCGCCGGCAACACCCGCAGTGACAGAGACGCAAGTCCTGAACCTCCGCGCCCCGCCGGGTGGGAACAGTCAGGGTCACTGAGGGACTGAGGTACTCACTGGTGAGGACTGTAAGCAGGAACAGATACTCAGTGTACGAAACGAGCCCTGAAAGAGAGAGAGCACACACAGTGAAAACAAGTTTCAGGCGGTTTAGACGTGATCACACACATACACATACTGTATGGAACCTGCACCCAAGTAAAAACACATTTTACTTTAAATGACCTCTCTTTGGTACTACGGAGAACCGTCATAAGAGAGTCTAGTATGAATGCTTAAAAAAAAAGACTGATCAGGTCACTGTCGCTAGCAGGAAGGGGAACGGACGTTGGCCAGCAAACAAAGGCGTCCACGAGGGGCTTCACTTGCACGGCATTCTGCGTTATCTCTACACAAAGTTCACTATTCGTAACATCTCAACTGAAGCAAACTTACAAATTCAGTAGAATGACAGAGATCTGGATATGCGAAAGGTCAAACTACATTATCAAAATGAAGTCATTCGATCTTCACAGCAGTGACCTGACTGGCCTTTGAGAAGCCATCCCTCCCCACTCCTGTCTGGGTGGGACGACTCGTCTTCACCTCTGGAGGGAGATGCTGACTGGCCAGGCGGCAGCTACGCTCCTGCAGGGCTGAGCCCTGCCCAGCCAGATGCGGGGACTGGGGGCGCCGCTGCGAGAATGCTGGGCCACTCGCTCCACTCCCCCAAAGCTTTGATGATGCAAGAACGTCCCACTTAGGACAGCGAGGCCAGACGAGTGCCTGGACCTTCCAGAGGGCTGGTCTCCAACGGCAGGCCAGAAAGAGGCTGTTTGAACCTTGGATGAAGCTGGGCTGAAGCTGGATCTATGTCTGCCCACTAAATAAACTTCCTCTTCTGCTCCAGTAAGCAGTGTCAGGTTTCCCGTGCTTGCAATGCAAAGAATCACCATAAACATTTGAGAACTAGCCGTCTGAATGTCTTCTTTGCAGAAATGTCTACTCCAGTCCTTTGCTCATTTTTAACTGTTTTTTTTTGGTTGTTATTGGATTGTAGCAGTTCTTTATATATTCTGGATATTAGCCCCCTACGTGGGGTTTGCAAATATTTTCTTCCATCCTGTGGGCTGCCTTTTCACTCTTGATAGTGTACTTTGAGTCGCAAAGCTTTAAAATTTTTCTGTTGCCCCCCATGTCTTAAATCTCTTTTACTCTATAGGTTCTCCCTGGTCTTTTTCCCCCTCTCAATTTCAACTTAATTGTTAAAAGAAGCCTGGTCATTTGTCCTGTAAAGTTTCTGAGTGTCCAGGAGATTTTGCTAAGTGCATCCGTGGTGTCATTTCACTCATTCCTCTAACATCTACATTTTCTGCAAACTGGTACTTGGATCTAGAGCTGTGCTCAGATTCACGTTTGGTTTGTGGCAAGAATTCTTAACAGATGGCGCTGTATACTTTCACCAGGAAGCCCAAATGCAAATGCTTACAGGAAATGCTAAATACCACCGAGACATGCTGACAGGAAGATTTACAAGACTTAAAAAAACAGTGAAGTCATTTCCAGAGTTTAGGTGATCAGAGACGTCTCAGAAGAAATAATTCTAGAAATGGTCTTCGAATGATGGGAGAAAATTTTACTTAAGCAGGTGTAGTATTAGTGGGAAAACCACATATATAAGGTTGATAAAGCTGAATATGAACATTAAAAAGCAACTGTTCGTCTGGAATACTGTCCACGTGGAAGAATCAATGGGAAGGGAAGCCACTCCGGGGGTTCAGAGACAGGGAAGACAGGCTGCAGGCGGTGGCGGCAGGGGTCTGCCTCACCCTTCTGTGAAGGAGGACCACCCCTGCCGGCTCCCGGTCAACACGGCCGAGACTCAGAAAGCAGCGCAGAGCAAGGCAGGCAGGGCCGCCCTCGAGGTAATTCCATGTTTCAGCTACAGCGCCTTCATGTATATATTTTAAATGTTCCTAATGACTTACAGTTTTTGCATCATCAACTTTTCTGTTGTTTTTATTCTGGAGCAGGTGTACTTCCCTTTAATAAGAAAGTCTACAGTAAGTCTTCAGATATTTTTTCTTAAAAACATTCAGTGTTTATACGAAGGGAGAATAAATTAAATGTGTTCTGCCATACTTCAGAGCTGAGAGAAACGTTCTAATGTTAGCTGAAGGATCAAAGGATTTCATCCCTTGGTGGCCTCAAAAGAGTGAATAGATTTTTTTTCTAGTTTTCAAAGGAATACAGCAACGTGAAAAAACGGTCAATCTGCCAAGCTGAACTGGGCTTGGTGCCAAAAGGAGACCTCACTGTCCTCTTCTCGAGACATAGGTGCTTGTCCCGTGCATAGGGGAACTTTTTGAAAAAGAAAATCCCATAGTCTTTCTTTGAAATACTGACTTAAATAAAATGCTTGAATAAACACAGTTGAGACAGTATAAAAGCAGCACCTTACACTCTCAAGACAGATTACAGACAATACAGCTCTCCAACAGCATTCTGCCCATCTGCCTCTGAAATGCTTTTAAAGAAAACTGACACTTCAGAATATTTATAGGAGAGACAGTTTAATACATATTTGTTACACTGAATTGTAAAATGAATGCTGTGAAATGGCAATGTTTCAAAACTGCACTTCAAATGGGGAAGTAGTTCAAATAATTTGTATTTAAAAACTGAGTAAAGAATTCTTAAGGGCCACTAGAAGAGATGATCAAATTCTGTTAGTTACTATGCTTCCCTGAAATATTTTAAATTTGGAACCAATGAAAAATATGACTTGCTATGGAATGCAATTTTGAGAACTCTGTTTCCCAAACAGAAATGACTACAGCTATCATAGGAACATACTTATATCTTATGACATATCTTAATTTGTATTTGGTAAATCCTTGAGGACAGTATCACGTTGAAAATTCTGCTCAGTTTGTAAACAACACATAATAATCGTAACAGACAATTCACTTTTCTTTACAGCAATGCAAAGGGGCGAGCTGTCTTCTTATTTCAAGCGTCCGCCACCTTTGCTTGTTATGACAGAGTGTGCACTTGGGCAGCTCTTTCATGTGGCAGAGCAGAATAAGTTGCTCCAAGTATAGCTAAATGTTATTCTTTTCTTCAAGTGACTTTAATTATATCAACAAAGGAGTATATCTGAAAAAAAGTGTATCTGTTGAATCTTTCCTATAAAATATTCACAGTAGTGTTTTTTCTTTAAGTGGAATGTATAGTTCAACTCATGTATTTCAGAGAAAAACTAAAAAAATAACTGTTCAAGTCCTTTCTCGAGACTTTCTTGTTCTGTTTCTAAGTTCTCTAGAGGCAGGGAGAAAAGGGAATAAATTCAGTAAGTATTTAGGAGTCGAAATTAGATTTATGTCTGACTGCGTGTGAAGGATGGGAGGGGCAAAGAAAGAAAGGGTTCAAAGATGTTTCTGGGTTTCGACGAGCTGGGTGAAAAATCCTACTATGAAATAAGATCAAAAACCAACATTTGGGGGACGATGGTCTGGGATATGATGAATTCGAGATAACTGAGAACCACGTGCAGGTGCCTGGCAGCCACGTTGTACACAGGAGGCTCGGGAGAGTGGCCTGGGCAGCTAGGAGGGATCTGAGTCACCAGCACACACGGACGCTACAACCAAAGGGAGCGAGGAGAAGGCCAGTGCGTGAAGGAGGACCCCAGGGAGCCCAGCGCCTGCAGGGCAGGAGGAGGGAGCAGCACAAAGAAACCCGGGATAGCGTGGCTGCAGAGACCCCGAGAGAGTGTGCGGCACGTAAGTCTGCCCGTTGAGGTCCTGTGCTGACCTGTCTTCAGGCACTGAGCCAGAGACTCGCATACACGTCCTCCTCTAACTGGGGAAACAGATGGCCTCTATTTCACAGGTAACACAGGCTTCAGAGAATTCTGTTAGTTACTCCAGGAGACACAGGAACTGTGAAGCCTCCCCTACCTCAGGGACACTCTTCTCCCAGCGACAGTGCGGTCAAGCGGCCGTCCCAGTGGACAAGAGGCCCAGGGCCAGATCCTGGCTGGAGCAGAGTGACAGCAGGGACGGGACAGCCGGGGTGAGGGAGCTGGCGCCGCAGGAATGCGTGGAACCAGCCGTCCTCACCGCCTTGCCTCGCTACTTCTGATTCCGCACGGACACGCGGCTCCTGCCCGTCAGCGGCTTACTTTTCTCGTCCTGCTGCGCCACGTGGACGGCAGGAAGCCGGGTGTCCCTGTCCCCCCGCAGCTGCCAGCGCCCGCGTTCTGATCCTCCCCGACTCTGAAATGAGCGCTGTCATGTTACCTCGCCCTGCAGCCCCTCCCTCCTCCCTTCCAGTTCCGCGTAAAGCCCCCTAGTCTTCCTTTTTCCTCCTTCTCTGAATATCTTCACAGACTGCGCCTGAAGGAAAAAAACCCAAACTTTCTGCTCTGGACTTCCATATTCTGTTTATCTTTTGAATAGTCCATCACTAAGGGCCTTCTCCCTAATCATCTAGAAATACTGACTTTTTATTCTTTCAGAAGTCTTGGAAATGCAGGGGAGGATATAGCTCAAGTGGCAGAGCACATGCTTAGCATACATAAGGTCCTGGGTTCAATCTCCGGTGCCTCCTCTAAAAATAAATAAATAAGTAAACCTCCCTCCCTCCTCTCCCCCTCCCCTGTCGAAAAAAAAAATCCTGGAAATGAATGATGCCCCTGTTCACTCCGAGAACAGAGTCCTCTAGCTGCATAAAGGGCAGGGGACCGGCATTCCTCAGCAAGAGCAGTGTGTGGCTAGGCTGACAAGCTTATCTCCCTGATGTTAGAAAGGCAGGCGTACAGAGCCAGGGCCAGAGCCGCAGAGATACGTATGTGTACCTGGAATTTAACGGGGACAAGTAACAAAGAAGTTACTAATAATCTTTCCTAGAATCCTCTGAAAACAGTTCTCCGTTTTATCGCCCTTACGGTACAGAAGCGGCGGAGCTGGTAAAGATACACAGACGCACACCCCTTCTTCCAGAGACAGAACCGTGGCTTCCAGATGTGACCACGTGCAGCAGAACCTTTGAACTGGACACCACCAGCGACAACCCTCCCCACGCCTACCCTGCCAACACGGAAAACTGCTTCACAAGCTTCG